GACGCCATAAGTTAGCCAAGCTTGCGCATAGGCGTAATATGCAGACATAGCGGTTTTTAAATTTGTACATTTTTAAAAATCGTATAGAGCGTATGTGAACCTAGATAATTTTCCAGACACCTTATCTACATGGCATTTCCAATTAACTCTTGAGTCAATTACTAATCCTAATAAATTACACGAATCTACACATGTTATTTTACTATTTTCATATGACAAATCGATTTTCATTGGTGGTTTTTGACGTGGTTTTACTTGGATAAATTTAGTTTTCGTAAAGTTTAATGTTAAATTGTGATCTGTTAACCAGTTTGTTGTTTGTTTTAATGTAATATTTAATTATTATATCATAGCATTGAAATATTATAGTAATGTCATCTACGTAAAGTATGGTTTGGGCATCTAAAAGTATTGGCAAATCATTTATAATGATTATGGTAATGACTTTCTACTAATACAAATTAACGAGAAATAATTTTTTGAAATAGTTTCTCGGCCCCGGTGTAAAGTCCTATTTTTCGAGATACGACAAGATCGCTTTTCGGCGTCGATATATTAAAAAAAGGATAAACCCAAAATACTACCCTGTGGTATTGAATTTTTTATTACTTTTTTCTGTGGTAAACAGTTAAATATTTTTTACAAAAATCGTAGTGTTTATGTTATATGTTGTTTTGATATTGATATCTACGAATTGTTCTCGTTTCTGCAAGTATGATAGAAACCATTTGGGCTGTGGACAATTTAAATTTTTGTGAATTGTTTATTATTTCTCGGATGTCTAACTGAAAAAAATAACAAAACGTTACTAAACGTTATAACAAAAGAGTTATAGAATATTTTATAATATTGCTAAGGTCATAATAATTTTCGTCCCTTTGTTTTCAAAATCGATCAGAATCGAGAACAGTGTTGCTTAAGATATAACATCACTGAATGTTCAATTTGGCTAAAGAAATGTACAAGCGGCCGTACCACGAAACTGCCAGCATTATATAAAACTTTTCACTACGATGGCAAGCATTATAGTGTATGCTATTGATATGATAAGAAGAAGACTGACGTGTTAAACGCTGAGGAAGGTTTCAGCGTAGTTGTAGTATTCACCGTGAAGCATAAATTTTTTTCAGGTTGAAACTAATTCTTCAAGGTGAAAAACATCGAACATGTAATCAAACGTTTACTGCCTCCGTGGCCGAATGAATCATGCTGAGCTGCCACGCAGAGGCCCCGGGTTCGATTCACGTGCTGGGAGAAATATTTGTATGGCCTACATTTATTTCTCTCGTGAGTTTGGGTGTAATTTGTGGTTGTTTATGTATGTGTCCATGGTCTCTGCGACACAGGTTTCTTTAGTGCGGGGCTATGAGTGTGTGAGTTATTATTATTATTACATTATTATTATAACTCTCGCTAACCATGAAGGAAAACATTGTGCTAAAACCTACTTGTCGAAGAAGGTTCACGATCTTTGGAATAGGTATGAAGTCCTCAGACTACATTGGGCCTGCGTCGTGGACTATGACCTTAACTCCCTCCTTAGAGGAGACCTTGTTCCAGCGGTGGAACGTATAAAGTATTGGTGACGACGATGATTAATGGATGATTATTAGATGGATGTGGATAAAATGGAAACCTGACTGCAAATTTGACTTGTATTGGTCGTCCATGGCACTTGCGATACAGGATCTTCCTAACGCGGGGCTATGGGTATGTGCGTTGTTGATTTTATTTATTTAAACGTTCCGTCATAATACACAGATTTTAGCACTTTTATTCACTGAATGATTATCACTAATTAACCCATTCATGGACAGTAACGGCGTTTACCGTAAAATTAAATATCAGAATATGATAGTGCATAGTAGCTTTACAGTACGATTTCCAACTGGTTTCTGTGTAATAACTGCTTATTGCTTCTCCTTGAAGAAGTATCAAGAACGTACTGACAAAATTCGATGATTTACATTGAACATTTTATATTGAATTAATATAAAATAAACACTACGGCACAAAGAAAAGTAGTGACTTTTTGTGTGCGATACTGTTTAAGTAACATCCATGAACGGATTATAAACAAACATCAGGAAAATAATAAGAAATCGTGGTAAGGAACCTGCAATTAGTTATAGTCATCCATACGTGTAAGGTAGATTAAAAATATTTAAATCCTCAAACAGTCGTCTACAAGATTCCCGTGGACCAATGTTTTACACTGCATCATTATTTTTCTTTTGACCTACAAATGCTCGTGTGGTATAAAGATTACGTTGACAATTATACCAGATGATCAATCCACAACGAAAAACGGATACAATAGCTATAAGAAATAACTAAATATATTTTTGCCGATAACTTGTCTTAAGATATGAAGTCAGTTTCAAACTGTTTACTTTGCTCTACTTTCAGTGTAATAGGTTAAAGCTAACCAAAAATATTAATTTCTTTTGTAAGATCTTACCGTGATAATTAATATTTATATTCATTTTGTATACCCCTTTTACAGCAAATTAAATGTTGTGGTTATGGCTAAACATACTCTATCACTAACTTTTCAGTGTCATTGATTCAATTTCGTAACGAAGCAAGTCGTGCACGTGTTATATTTATGTCGACTTATCAATATTATTATTTATGTTTATAAAGAATAATAAAGGTTTTAATATTGTTCTTTGAGGAACTCCGAACCTATTTAAACGGTAATCCGTTATATTAGTGCAATTTATTATAATGAAATTTAATATAAATACATTTTTATGTGGTTAGTTAAACTTCGCTACCTCGCGTTCACCGTCCGACATTCGTCCGAAACAATTACTGTTAAATAAGTAATACTCAACCAAATTGAAATTCAATGTCAAGCATGAAGCTTCATTCGCATCATGCGTCTTTTAATCTTAGACTATTTTTCTCCATCCTCTAGGCTTTTATGGTTGTGTGACAGTCGAACGGAGAAGGAGAGTACAGGGCCGGCTGTGTAGATATGACTTATACCAAGTTAACGCTATACGTTTAATGCTATATGTTTTAGATTTGGTTGTCGGTCTATCATGTGCCACGAAATCGAAAGCTTTGCACATGTCGACAAACAATGCTGTGCTGTGCGTATTTGTGTCAGGGGTTTCGTCACTACATCAACAATATTTAAAACCAATTCCGTTGTCAATTTCCTTTTTAAAACGACAAATTGTTTTGGTTTGATAATCTTAACAAAAGACATTAGTTCTTCAATAATACATATGTATTTTTCCAATATTTTGGCGAATTATTTGGTTGAAATAATAATAAATATAATATAATAATAAGCACGAGTGTACCCAATTAAAATAGGTAGAAGTCCTAATTCGATACTTGTATTACGCGTACCTACCTAGTGACGGACTGTAGACGATTTTATAAAGAAATGCTTTTAAAACTCTCCATTGAAATTTTTCCTTGTCGGCATTGGCTAGGGAAAGTTAGTCGTAATTTAATTACTTATTCGTGAGCACATAGCTAAGTCCCGCGAATGCAAATTTACCTGCCATTGTAAACGGAGCTAATGCGGCTTACCAGGCTCTCATAAAAAATGTATTAGCCCCACCCACTTTTACTAATTTTAAATACTGTTTCATTTGCAGCGTTGAACGAGAGCTATACATATTGCAATCAGCCCATAGCGAGTATTGGCCTCGCAGCTTTTCGGCTTCGACTTCACGCAGAATTTTTTCTTACGATATATTTATTATTGAAATCAAATTCAAAATGTCGTAATTTCATAGTTAAGGGGATATTCCTTCTAGTCGTGTCTTCGGTGATTGGGGCTCATTCATATAATATGGTAGATGTGTAGGTATAAATTTATAATAGACAGAATTCATTATTATTTCTAGGGTCTTGATTTTGTATAGAGCGCACCCACAAATCTGTTTTTTCAAGTAAAATCGACACTTCAAAGGCTCTTGGGCTCATTTGAAAAGCAGATTAACTTTAATAGAACACACACTCTCTTACTTCCACGTATTCTTTCGTCCCAAAAAACTCAGATTCTTTCTGGAAATGGTTATAGTCCGTAGTAAATGAATAAATAATATATTCATCAATAAGATCGTCGTCGAAAAAAGCCGTGATAGCTTAGTGGTTTGACTGAGGGTCTGTGGGTTCGAATCCAGGCTCGTATCGCTGAGTTTATGTGTGCATTTATGTGCGAAATTTAATTTGAAATTTATCATGAGCTTTTCGATGGAGGAAAACATCGTGATGAAACCTGCACGTTAACGAATGTTCATAACTCTCAGAAAACGTGTGAAGTCGACCTGCATTGGGCCAGTGTGGCGGACATGGCTTAAACCCTCGCCTGAGAGGAGACGTGTATGAGTAAATGAGTTGAAGGTGATGAAACATTTTGGGAATATTGGAGACAACCACGAAAAGAAGTGGCTTGGCATAGTTGGGTAGCCCGGGCCCTTTCTAATGTCGAAAGCATTTTAATTTAGTGCCTTAAAGTCTTAGCCGAGACTAAACGGAATATACTCGTCGTATTTGGGTTGGTAAGTGAATAACTCAACGTCGACTCCAGGCAGTGGAAACTTCCTTCGCCCAACAATGGGACGTATAAATGGCTTGATGATGATATGGATCAATTCAAATCATAATCACAATACGAGTTGGGTTAATAGGTTTGATCAATCGCTGACTTTACCTAACCAAACAATATGTGCTTGCTAATCGAATCAGTTGTTAAACGGCTACTCGATTAGTATCCGGGTTGCGTGTTTTCCGTTACCCGACTAATACATGGCATATTTGTTAGTGTTCATTTGTGAGAACAATTAGCAATAACTTGTTTTCTTAACTGTGTTTATTTAGGTTATTATATGTGTTGCTTGGATTTGTTGTGTTTTTTTGCTTAATTATGTAATCAGTATATTTTCTAATTATTAATGGAAAGATCGAACACTTAGAAAAAAATCCTTCGATCCGGCCGGATTCGAACCGACATCTTCTAGCAAACCGTGGCAGACGCTATGCCAACTTAGCACAGAACGAACCACCGGACATCACGATTTTTTCTATGTGTTTATGACAATATCTTATAAGAGTATCTTTGCATTTGGGTTTTCTACGACTTTTTAGCCGTAGCGCCATCTATGAGAAGTCTATGAAAGTATTTCGTCACCCAGTTAAATACCTTTACAGTTACCAGCCCCGGTTAGAGATGTCGCTATTGACAGTATTTCAATATTATTGAATTGATATTCAATTATTTTTTAAGATAAAAATTTTATATTTTTTTTCTAAGTGCTTGATCTTCGTGTTAATAGTTATATTAAACAAGTGGAGTAATTTCCATATTTCACATAAAAAATAATTGAATATCAATTAATCAATAAAAATTAAGTGTATTTTCTGTTTGAGAACATTGGTTCTATTGTGAAAGAAAATAAAAAGAATCTACATGAAGAAAACCATATCCTCAGTAGTTCTAATAATTTAGTTCACACGCTATAAACATTTTGCAAAATTTTATTTGGGATTTTATGTTACCGCAAAGCAGATAACTTTAACGGGTTACCTATGATTAGCCTCGGAAGTGCAATAGCATTTTCACATGTGGGAATGCGGTTGTTATTGGCCACAGCACGAGAAGGGGTCATACCGACAATGAGATTAGACAAACCGAGTTTGGTTTGCGGCAGATTGTAAAATTTTACAGCTTTCGAACGAAAACATTTGAGCAAAATACAAATAGGTAGATAAATAAATTTTCGCTTCGGCATTAGTATGCATACCGCGACCCTCTCGGGTTAAATCCGCCGCGAAATACTCTAGGCATGCATTCTGTAAATCCAATGTTTAGGAGGATTTGAATAGCGCCAACTGGATTAGGAGTTATTCGATAAAATCACGCAGCCATTTATAAATTGCCGACGTATTGCACACCATTTGTTCAACGCTTAATTCTTAATGGCTGAACAGTCTAGTTTTTGTAACGATCCACATTGACGAAAATTAGGACGTTTGTTTTTAAAACATTTTCTCTTTTTCGATTGTGAAAATAAATAGAAACTTAAAGTGCCAGGGCGGTGCGGTGGCTAAATGAAAGAAAGTAGGAATGGCCCCACACGAGAGCGGTCTGTTTACAGTTGCACCTCTCCGCGGCGTAATATCCGCTCCAGTTTCATATTGTTTCCACTCGGACCTAAGCAAACTTACAAACGCCCGGATTAATCTAATTATGCCTACCCCAATCTACCTACTTTCTCCTCTTGAATAGCATCTCATTAATTTAACGTATTCCTGCCAAATTTTTGAATAAATGTCGGCTCCGAGGTCAACGAAGCGTAGTACTCTGTTTGGTTTCTAAATTACACGCGCTTATAACCACAAAAGCGTATAATTTAGAAACCTTTAATTGCTGTATTAATATGATTGGACCAAATTAAGAATGGAATGGTTTGGCTACTTTAAAATTAATTTTATTATTCGGTTAAGAAAATTCAAATGTACAAGGCAAGAAAATTCAAGTGTGTCAGTGAAGATTTTGAAGAAAGCCAAGGCATGGCTTGATCTCTCAAGATCGTGGGCTTGAATCCGGACTCGCACATCTGAGTTTCTCGCAATTTATGTACAGAATATAATTTGAAATTTACCCTGAGCTTTTCGGTGAATGAAAACAACATGATGAAACCTGCACGTCGAAGAGGGTTCACAACCCTTGGAAAACGTGTGAAGTCCCCAACCTGCATTGGACCACCGTGGCGGACTATGGCCTAAATCTTCGCCTGTGAGGAGACGTATACGAGTAAATGGGTTTATGGTGATGATGATAGATTTTAACAAATATTTTGGAAATGTTGGCGACAATCACGAAGAGCAGTGGCTTAGCATAGTTGGTAGCCCGGGCCCTTTCCTGTGTCTAAAGCATATTAATTTAGTGTCTTAAAGCCTTAGTGGATAATCGCGTCTACAGATGGAAACATGCTCGTCGTATTTGGGTTCCTAAAGCAAGTGAATACCTCAACATCGACTCCAGGCAGCGGAAACTTCCTTCGCGGCTCGAGGTCGCGTGGCACATGACGGAAGAACTCCCGGCCATCCTTGTACCACTTGACGGAGTACAGTACGTCCGTGGGACCCAGCGCCCAACGGCACGACAACTGCGCACGAGTGCCCAGCGGCACGTGTGCCGGTACGCGGAGCTCCAATAGCTCCAGGCTCGTGACTCCGTATTCTGTGAACAAAGGAAAAGAATTTAGAGATATTTACTTGCTGAACGAGAACAAAATTATTGTAGGCGACATTTTTAAAACTCTATTTCATTCGACTAATAATTTTACTTATTGTTTCTATTTTTGAGTCAACAATTGAGTACCAAGACCACCACTATTTGATCTGAATTGAAAAGCAGAGCACATCGCTTTTCGCATTAACTGCCTCCGTGGCCGAACGGTTACCATGCCGGACTGCCACGCAGAAGTCCCAGGTTCGATTCCCGGGCCGGGAGAAATGTTTGCATGGCTTACATTTATTTCTCTCGTGAGTTTGGGTGTAATTTGTGGTTGTCTATGTGTGTGTCCATGGCACCCGCGACACAGGGTTTCCCTAATGCGGGGCTATGTCGAATGTGTGCGTTAATGTGTGTGTGTGCGTTATCGTGAATCTACTTTTTGCAAAGGACAGAAATGAAGTGATTACCTTCTGTACTACAGTCGCCTTTGTGGGGAGGGACACTTCTCTGCCAAAGCGATGCTCGCAAAGAGTAACTTCAGAACAGGGTCGTGAAAGTATAAACCATGGCTCTGTTGCTATTTCGAAAGTATGTGGCGGACAACATTTAACCGGACGGATTCGGTTACCTTCAGAATACGAATTGAGCACATCCGTAATCTAGGCGGCTAGGTATCATCATTTAAAAAGGATAATTCTTAAAATCCAAAATGGCAACGTTCTACCGGACTGATTGCGCAGTGATCTATCTTTGTAAAGTAAAAACTAATACTACCGTTTATTTATTGAAGACTCAATTGCGCATAAATGCATGCTTTAGAAATCTGCGATTCCGTCTCGAAAATATAATCTGAGTACACATCTTTGCATCCGCTGGGTGTTGTTTTGAAATATCCTTTGCCAATTTAATATTTGTTTTGTTACTATTATTGTTAGACGCATCAACATATCTTTGTTCGAGGCAGCGATGTTCCACTTCTACTTGTTACGGCTTCGTAAATCCGTTCTAAAAGCTTCTTCAGGTTGCTTGTTATTTTAATATTACGTTTTTACACTTCTCATTCTCTCGTCACTGTCGGGCTTTATACAATAAGCCTCGTACAGTCGCATTGGATTCTTTGAAAAGTTTCTCATAATATAATGGGTTACGCTTTAGTACCATGTCTACTCAAGCTTAGATTTTAAATGTCTGAATGGTTTGGATCGCACAAACTTATTTATGTTCTGTTAATGTTACCTTGTTATTAAGTTACCTTGGCTGTAAATTGGATAGGTTTGAAAACAACGCAAGTCAAAAGTGGCCGTGCTCCGAAAAAAGATTTTAGAAATATTTTGTACTTAATATTATTTAAAGTACCTACATAGATTTATGTTTCACTTTTAAATAATTTCTGTCCTACTTACAATGAAAAGCAAGGGAGACGGTGAAAAGTAGAATAATAAGTTAATAAAACTTCATGACTAATTGCTTTGAACTTTGGAAGACAACGTCATAAATATCAGCAAAGAAAAATATCCATAAAATTAGAATTAGGGCGGTCAAAGTTTCCCCAATAAAATTTTTCTACTGCTACTTTGTAGGTACTCGTATTTTTATTTGGCTGTTGGTAGCGTGTTATGAAGGCAAAAATCCATTAAACGGCACGTCAAATAATTTCCCATGTGACGCGCGCTCGCGGCCCGTAAAAGAGGCAATAGTGCCGTCGCCCAGCGTCAGCGGTGGATAATATTACTTTACGACCCGCGGGGCGCGCGAACCTAAGTAAATTGGTGAATAAAGACATCGGGCAGACACCCATGTGCTAATATTACAAGTACCCCGATCATCCAGCGCTGGGTGTCGGACTACTACGACGTTATAACCGTCGCGACGCCTTCAATAGAGAATTGAGAGATCGATTATAAATTCCTATCATTGTCAAATTTTTGACATTTATACATGTTAATTATAACACACATAGGGAAACCCTATATCGCGGGCGCCATAGACACACACATAGGTAGATTACCACAAATTACCTACACCCAAACTCACGAGAGAAATAAATATAGACCACAAATATAGACATAATTTCAATAAGAAAGAAGATATCCATAATATTAATCTTAGGGCTAAGTCCAAACTCATTGTACCACGATTTCGTTTAACCAAGGTAAACAACTCTTTTATGGGGAACTGTATACGTTTTTACAATAAGATTCCGGAGCATATATTAAGTTTATCATTTTAAAAGTTTAAAAACTACATTAAAAATATTTTGATCGAAAAATCATATCACGAAATTGAAGACTACGTGTTAGATAAAGATATATGGAAAGACGACACGGCTCCAGAATCCACACAAATTTGATTCAACGTGTATTCCATAGCATTTAAGTTTATTTGAAAAGAGCAATCCCTAAAGTTTCTTGCTCGTTCTTCTCAGGGAGGTCAGCGTAGTGAACGAGCAGTAGCTTAAATGTGGCGTTTTCAAGTGTAAATTTATTTTACCTATGGAATAAATAATCTTTGAATTTGACCATACAAATATTTCTTCTGGCCCGGGAATCGGACACAGGACCTCTGAGTGGCAGTCGAGGATGGTAACAGTTTGGTCACGGAGGCAGTTAAAGTATATTTATTCTGACGTTACCTATTAAGAGTATTATTATTTTGATATCTAGTTTTAGTGATATTTCGTTACATTTAACTGCCTTTAAATTAATGACTGACTTATTAAATCTAAGTGCGCATGTCCATTATGAAAAAACATGTTACACCTTGTTTAGTCTGGTGAACCTTAGAATAATAACGCATAGAATGATAGTTTCATATCAAACGAACTGTCACAAGTGAGGCAAAAACCAAATTCATGTAGGCGTAAGCAACTTGTATCTACGCTCGTCGGCACGCACACAAATATACAAATAATGATACCATGGAATAACATTTCCCTCAAAAGTGGGAAAATTGTATCTTGCGTAACTCATTAAGTTAAAGGTGCCTACAGACATGCTCGGTTTTGTCGATCGTTACTGTCGATCGACAATGTCAAGTGACAAGAATTTTCAAAAATTTATTTTTGGTTATCCTTATGGAAATGGCATTTATATCTGAATACACGATGACGGACACGACTTTTCAAATAAATGTAATATGGGAGTCATTTTCGAGGTATTCGAGGTGCTCATTACGAATATGGCACTCATTTCTAAATCTAAGACAGCAGACACGACAGTTCAAACAAAAGCAATATTCGTAATGAGCACCCCCAAATACCTCGAAAACGATACACAACTTGCCATTATTTAAAAAATCGTGCCCGCCATCTTGGGTTTAGAAATTAATGCTATATTTGTAATGAGCACCCCCAAATACATTGAAAACGATACCCAACTTGCAATTATTCGAAAAATCGTGTCCGCCATCTTGGATTTACAAATAAGTGCTATATTCGTAATGAGCACCCCCAAATATCTCGAAAATGATTCCCAACTTGCCATTATTCGAAAAATCGCGCCCGCTATCTTGGATTTAGAAATGAGTGCCATATTCATAATGAGCATCCCCAAATACCCCACAAACGATACCCAGAATCAAAATCAAAATAATCTTCATAGGTAAGGTAGGTATTTTCATAGGTAAGCATTATAACACTAGAAATCGTCACATTGGTTAAACTCTACCGCTCATTCGTAAGGCAGATACCCCCGAGAAGTATGAGCAAGAAACTCTAGGGGTTGCTCTTTGTAATCAACATTTGTACGCATTTAACTTGCAGAAATGGAAGTCAAATGCACACTTACATTAGAATTTAAAAAAAATCTGCAGCCGTCGCGATATTGCATATTCTCAAAAAATTACGTAATATAATTATTTTGAAACAGAATAGCAAAATTGGGAGAAAGAAATCCGTTACTTTGCAACATTTTCGGTCTTGTTGCAACGAAATTAATTTTCGGTTTTAGTGAATATTTACATAAAAATATAAGTTGAAACGCGTTACTTCCTTGTGGAATGTGATGTTAGTGTCTATTTTATGTTTGCCTGTTTTATTTTTACACCCATTTACCGCACATTTCGTCATTATTAGCAAAAATGTTTGAGTTGTTCGCGGTGCAATTTGACCTTGAGCACTAACAGCCCGCCCGCTCGTGTAGGCCCTTTGGGAAGCCTCTAACTTGCCTCTCTTAGCGTGTGCGGGCTAGGTTTCTATTCGTTATTATTCTAAGTGGTGAAGGCCATATGAGTAAATTATATAATATACCTTCAATAAAGATATTGAATGGCTAACGTTTGGCCGGACACAGTGAAACTGTATTAATTTTGTTTCATGTCAACTTCTATACAAAGTGTTTTTACAAACAAATGAATTATGAATTAAAGTTTCTTCATTTTCAAATTTTCAGTTGCGAAATATTAGTAAAGGAAATAGAAAAATACTAGTTCAGAAAGTTTTAATTAAGTATGTACATAATAAGTATATGCTACGAATAACATTTACAAGGAAAATTACTTTAAAAAACTTGTCAATTTGACACGAACAGGCGGACAGCACGTCATTTCCTTAGAAATACAGACTCTCCTCTGCATAATATTCCCTGGGCTTAATTTACTAATTGCTAGTTGTGTGCTTTCTGTTAGTCAGTGTCATTTGCTATCGCAAATATCACTGAGAATTCCCTCTGAACCTTTGAGTAACAATTTACTTTGCTCGAAAAATGTGAATGTATATTTAGCATAAACTTGAAGTATAAAAAACTAAACATTTGCAATTTAACTATATTTTACTAAATTTATTTTGTGATACAAAATTCTGCAGTATTTTATCATTTAGAAATTATTTTATAATAAATTGTGGCTGCATGCGTCTGTGCCTTTTATAACATTTTAGTTAGGGCTGTATTATTTATAAAAGAATAGTTGGTAATCTGTTAAAAAAAAAATAGAAAAAACCCGCTATTTGCAAAATCCGTAAATATTGTGAAGTGATGTTTATTCATACACGAAATGTATCATCGTTC